ATTCCTTCCTTCCTTCCTTCCTTCCTTCCTTCCTTCCTTCCTTCCTTCTTCTTTCCCTCCTTTGGAAAGTGTTCTATGACTGAGCCTTGTGCTCATTTCACCATTTCCATAGTTACTTTCATCAGTTTGGATTTTCACTTTATCTGTCTTGTACTGCTGAGAATTACTTTTATGCAGATTACATATTACCGTGAAAAGGTCCCTGGATAGTTTACAAAAAGAAAGCAACCAAATATATGGATATAGAGTCAAGATCACAACAGGAAAATAGACGCTACAAAATGCAGCGGAGTCACAAGGGAATAAAGTTCTTCCTGCCATGCTTGAAGGTTGATTTAACAACACATTAATATTTAAATGAAACCCAAAGTGAATTTTCAGCACATGAAAGCCAGGCCTGGAGGATGCATTCTCAGGAGGCCGGCACTGTCTGGCCATGACCAAGAATACCTTGCTTTGCAATCCCTGGGCCCATGTCAACCGGGTGCAGTATTGAGTTCTTACACCCAGGAGGAGGTTGGAGGGAGCCACTGCCTTGCTTTCTCTCATGGCTCACACCAGTTCCTTATCCTTCCAGCTCAAGGCCAATCTCCTGAACATTGCTACAGAGAACCAGACCCTCAACGAGACCCTCGGCTCTCTGTCAGATGCGGTTGTAGGTCTGACCAGCACTCAGCTAGTGTCCCTCTCCTCCAAGGCAGTGCACGGTGCCATCTCTACCCTCAACCAGGTTACAGGCTGGGGCAGAAGCCAGATTGTCATCTTGTCTGCCAAATACTTGGCTCAGGAAAAGGTCAGCTGGAACTTTCAACTTTCCCGGGAGTGCCTGAGGGCCAATGTAGTGTTAATTGGGTGGCTGTATAACAAAATAACATGGAGTTAGTGGTTTAAATAACAGAGATTTCCTCCTCACGGTTTTGCATAGCTTCATTTCGAAGCCTGTGTTTTGGCTGTGGACCACAGCCATCTTTCTGTGTACTTATGGGAACTCCATGACAGCAAGCTCCCTCTGCTTTTCTGTCTCTTGTCTCTCTGTCTCTTGGTGTGTACACGTGTGCTCGTTTGTGCAGATATGTGTGGCAGCCAGAGGGAGGTTGAGATGTCGTCTTCAAGCATGTCTCTATTTTGTTTTATTGAGACAGGATCTCTCATTGAACTTAGAGCTTGCCATTTTGGCTAGACTGACCAGACAGCAAGCCTGAAGGATACAGCTGTCTCGGCCTCCCACCCCAAAGTGTTTTTATGTGGGTGCCTGAGATCCAAACTTAGGGTCTTCCTGCTTGTGGAGAAAGCCCTCTGCCCTGGTTTCTCTTCTGGTAAAGGCATTATTTCTGTCAGTCCAGGGCCCCGTGTAACTCTTATTATCTCCTGACTTAGGGTTTCTATTCCTGTGGTAAAGCACATCACCAGAAGCAACTTGGGAGGGAAGGATTTACCTGGCTCACAGGTAACATTAGGGGAAGCCAGGACAGGGACTTGGAGACAGGGACTGAAGCAGAATCTATTGAAGAATGCTTCTCACTGGCTTGCTCCCCATAGCTTGTTCATCCTGCTTTCTTACATAACTCAGGACCATCTTCCTATAAGGCAGTGGCTTGTGCCCTCACACACCCATCATCAATTAAGAAAACACCAGACAGACTTGAATAGAGGCAACCGAGGCATTTGCTAGACTCAATCTAGCCTCATCATCTAGCCAGATGACTCCAGCTTGTGTCAAGTTGGCATAAAACTAACCAGGATATCTCATGACCTCATGACATCCTAATAGCATCATGCAGGGGTTAAAATTCAGCAGATGAATGTTGAGGAGGACACAAACATCCCGTCTGTAACAGTCAGCTATGTGTACATACAGTGGAAGCAACAATACAGAGAATGTGTTGAGGACGTGACTGGCATTTGAATCTCTACTCTGTCATCGACTTGTGTGATATGAGGCAATTGCTTAGTTTCTCTTTGCTCCAGTCTCCCTGTTTGTGAAATGGCTAAGAATAGCTCCTCTCCTCAGAACTGGTGCAGAGTACTTCTGAGCAGTCCGCAGGGAGATGACTAAGTACAGGGAGGAGGGGACAAGCTGTGAGCTCTTCAAGAGACCTGCTACTGAGCCACAGATACTTGCTGGACACACCCCCAGGATTTTCTTCTTTGTTCTTACTGCTCCCAGACACACCTCCTAACCTGCAGGTTAGTTGGACTTTGATGGCTGTGACAGATACTTGAGAGAATCAGGTTCAAGGAGGAAAGATTTGCTTTGTTCTGTGGAGTCAGAAATTTTGCTCTGTGGTTAGCTGGCTCTGTTGCTTTGACTATGAGGTCACACAAAGTATCATAGCTGGAAGACTGTGTGGAAGAGTAGGCTGTTCATCTTGAGGCAGCCAGGAAGCTAAAACCGTCTCTAAAAATGTTCTAAAAGGTGTGCCCAGAGCATACTTTATTAATCTCCTGGGTGTCTCTTGGTACAGGTTGGCAGGCAGGATCACCCATCACACTGGTGTCAGTGGTGATGGGTGATGGTATTTGTCTCAGCTTTGGGCTGTGGAGAGGGAGCTATGTTGTAAGAAAGTCACATTTGGAGGGGAGGAGCCTTGGTCCACACTGTAGCTATTCTTTTGGACTATCTTATGGTGTGTGTGGGGAGAGTAGCCTCCATGTTGAGTCTTGTTAAAAAGGCTCCAGACTCCAGATACTCGGTTCCTAAGCACTTAGGTGTCCTACTCTTTCTGTTCACACTCTTAGCCACCTCCTAGTACGTCAACTGACTCTTGGCAGTTGACTGGAGCCAGTTCCAGTATGACACTAATAACAAGCATTTATGAAGTTATTATTGTATGTCATATTATTGTATGTTCTAAGTGGATTAATCATTCTGTCTTCTGATCATCATAATGAGCTCATGGTGTTAACAGTCTTCACTTCTGAGGTTATTCACATGGGACACAAAGAATGTAAGGGACCAAATTGTCAACATCACAGTGGAAGAGAAAGATAGAGGGCAGAGCCCAAGGCATCTGCTGCAGAGTGGGCTTATGAATGCCATCTCCACCATGGTATCATGGCTAGTTTTAGTTTTATGTCAACTTGACACAAGCTATAGTCATCAGAGGAGGGAGCTTCAATTGAGAAAATGCCTCTGTAAGATATGGCTATAGGCAAGCCCACAGGGCATTTTTTAAATTAGTGATGGATGGGAGAGGCTCTTGGGCTGGTGTCCTGGGTTCTGTAAGAGAGCAGGCTGAGCAAGCCATGAGGAGCAAGCCAGTAAGCAGCACCCCTCCATGACCTCTGCATCAGCTCCTACCTCCAGGTTCCTGCCCTGTTTGAGTTCCTGTCCTGACTTCCTTCTTAAGCTAAACAACCCCTTTCCTCCCCAGTTCGCTTTTTGGTCATGGTGCTTCATCATAGCAACAGTAGCCCTGACTAAGAGAACCATGGTCCACTTGGGTTTGTTCACTTTTGAACTGGAGGCCAAGGCCAGCACTCACTTTGTTCCTGTAGGTTCACAGTGATTTCATTTTGAGGCTCTGCAGACCTTGGATTTTCTGGACCTTAACTGAGGCTCTGGGGGTCCATGGTGACATTTTCTATACAACTAATTCAAGGGAACAAAGGGAGATTGTTGCAGTCCCTCCTTGTCCTAGACAAAGAGGCTCGTCTCTTCCCTAGTGTCAACTACCAAACCCCAAAAGGTCTATGAGTGCATTGCTCCCCATTGGATCTCTTGACTGTCACTCATCCGGGTACCTACATCAAGCTGGCCTAGTAAATGTCTGGGAGAGCATCCTCATGGCTGTTTGTCTGCTAGGTGCCGTCCTTCCACAACATCAGCCAGATGGGCGTGCTGCTGGCAGGGGTGGGCACACAAGCCTTCTACAGCATGGACCCCAAGGATCTCTGGCAGGTGCTGAGAAGCCCAGTTTCTCAGGATATGTCTGATTTGTCACCTGTCCAGCAGCAAGGTGTCCTTGGCAAGGTGAGAGGATGATGCTCAGGCCTTAGCCACATGGCTTACAGAGGATGTGGTTTTCAGAATCTGTGGGTAAATTATGACCATGGGCCAACTGTTTTGTCTGGCATTGTCTTGGCAGTTGGTGTGTGAGGTGTTCAGAATCCAGTGGCCCCCAGGAGTGCTGCCTTCACTTACAGACATAGTTTCTTTTACCATGTTACACTTTTCTCAGACTGCTTCCTAACCAGTCTGATATGGAAGACTTTTATCAAACCAAGCTTCTTAATTGAATTTCAGATGATTATTATTTTTTTAACTTGTTATTGGTTCTTTGTGAATTTCACATCATGCACCCCAGTTCTATTCATCCCCCCCTCTCCTCGTACTTGCCTTCCACCCTTGCAACTTCTGCCCCCACAGCTGAGAAAAAAATCTCATTGTGGAAGCTGTAGTGTGTCACAGTGTGTCCCACAGTATATCTTTTGTGACAGTTACTGCTTGCAAGTGTTCATTGCAATGACTCATGGATGTGGTATGAGGCCTGTGGCATCTGCTACACTGTCAATACTGAACCTCACTGGGGCTCCTCTTGGATATCCTGTTGTTGCCCTGTGTCATAGAGATCCTGCAGCTTTGGATCTGTAGGACCGGCCCCTTCACATGCTCTAGCAGTTCATTGATGGGGCAGATATTGGGGTGGTCCAACTCAAAGCCTTGGACCTGGGCCTGAGAGGTACTTTATAATTAGTATTTTTGAGGTACAATATCACTGTGGAGCCCTGGCTGGACCTGGAGTGTCTATTCTCCTGCTTTACAGACATGCACCCTCAATCACAGTTGGGACTTAGAACATTTCGAGAATTTGATTGAATCTTGAAGTTCCCAGAATGCTGGACTGTGTTGATCTTTGGGGCATTTTGCTCACCATGCACTTACTATGTTGTATTACAAAATCTGCTAAGAAACAAAACCCAATGTGCTTGTTTGAAAATACCAAGGCTTTGTGAAGAGCAGTAGTGAATATGGTTAAAATAGACTATGGGTATATTAGCCACTTAAGGGGTTTTCTTCTTTTCTTCTTTCTTTCTTTCTTTCTTTCTTTCTTTCTTTCTTTCTTTCTTTC